CCCCCCACGTAATTTCAACAAAAAGACTATAGACACTCTCCGCCTAAAGGCTGAGTTCCGTCCTGTGGCAAAAAATGATAAACATCAGGAGATGGTGGGATGTAGTCAAGAATGGCAAATAATTGTGGAAGCTCCTGTTGTGCTGATGATGATTTAGCAGTTTGCCTAAAGCTTCATTTAAAAGTGTATGTCTGGGCAAAATAAGAAAAACACACAGACAGTACCCCTCTGTAAATACATGCAAATTTACACAGAGTGTAGTCATAAAACCAGTGATCACCCAAATTTCTGTTTAACCTGGAAATACAGTGCCTCTGCTGTAATCTCACATGTTGCAGCTACCTGCAGACAAACGCACCTGAACATAGATTGTTTGCTTCCAGATACGATCATCAGCAGGTAATCGAAGCCTGTGCGATTACATTTGAATGGGCTGCAAATAGTTGCGGATGGTGGCAGAAGGAGATGCAAGTGTGAATGGGGCCTTCAAGACAGTCTGCTATTCTCGTACTTGTTGAAATATTAAGGGCCTGTGTCATCAGGCTTGTGTTGATCGTATCAGGATGATATCACTTTGAGACCTTTAAAATCATTTTAGGAAAAGCAGCATATTTTACCCCCTCCTCACTGGTTAGTTTGAAAAAGACCATAGGCACTCTTCACTTAAAGGCTGAGTTCTGTTCCTATGACTAGTTTGTCAATCGAATTGGTGCTAAGCAAGGAATAGAAGAAAACAGCTCTAATATACAGTACATTACTTGGGTTTGCATACTGTAAATATTAATGTATTGTACAGAAGTGAATACTGACTAGGAAGGTGGAGAATGAAACCAAAAGGGGTGATGCGAGATGAGTTTGACCCATGCTCTCGTACAGTACATAACCAACTGGTTGGAGAGCTGGTCATAAGTCTGAGTGGTCATTAAACGGTAGGTCGCTAAGTGAGGATTAGCTGTATTAGGGAGAAAATGTCCAGTGGTCTTATAGTAATATTATTATTATTATTGTTGTTGGTGATGATATTAATGTTAACCACTTGCTGACCCGGGTGTTTACACCCCCTTCCTGCCCAGGCAATTTTTCAGTATTTAGCGCTGCAGTACTTTGACATTTATTCCATCATGCAATGCTGTACTGAAATGAATTTAATACCATTTTTTGGGGACAGATAGAACTTTCTTTTGGGGTTTTTAGTTTTTACTATATAGTGAAAAAAGTACAGAAAATTATGAAAAAAAACTGTTTTCCCTACGTTATGTTATAAGACATTTATTGTTACCCAAATTTTTGGTAAAATATAAAAGACAGGGTCACGTCGGGTAAATAGACACCAAACCTGTGAAGCTTTAAGATTGCAGGTGCCCGCAAAATCGCAAAAAACTACCATACCCAAAATTGGCCATAGGCGACGCTTTAAAAGCTGTTACCACTCATCAGTTTAGTGTTACCAGTGATTGATGGCCCTACAATTATTGCTCCCACTCCAACGTTTGCGGCGATATGTACCATGTACGGTGCAATGTGTGCAATCGTTTTCGCACATAGGCGCACTCAACACATGTTAGCATGTGTATGTGGGGGCGGGGGACCAAAAAAAATTGTTTTTGTAACTCATTTTTTAAAACCTTTTTTTTTACTTAACTTTATTGCCATCACACAGGGGATAACAATCCCCCTATGTGATGGCCATTTTGCAGTGACAGGTCCTCTTTATGGAGACATCAGGGTTCTTGTAGACCCCTAATGTCACCTAGGGACCCCCAGAGAAGATGATGAAGCAGAGATCTGCTTCACCAGCTGATCCCCGGCTTCTTTACCGGAGAGTGACAGGGGAATGCGGAAGGGATGTAATATACATCACTTCCTGCATTCCGACAATGAGGAGGAGATCAAACGTAGACCATGTACTGATCTTCATTTGATCTCCAGTCACAGATCTGCTGCGCTGGTCCCGGGCTCACACCGGGCACAGTGGAGCTTGGTATTACCAGTAGCGGCTGTGACGGAGGGGCGCACACCTGCACGCATATTACAAGCGATCGTGCGTCTCTACAGACACCCTAACACTTGTATGTAAATAGCCATACGCTGGCTGTTTTCAAGGTGATTTCGCGCTCATGCGCGCCGCCTAGCGCTGAGCACAAGCTGGGCGGGAAGGGACGTTTAAAAACGCCCACCTGCATCTAAGAAGCCGCTGTCCGGCCGTTTTACTTACAACGCCAGACAGCAGGTGGTTAATAAGGTAGGACCTACTTTCCTATTCGAAACATTGGCAATAGATACTGTACATGGAAGTATACACTTGTTAAATTAATTTCAGTGGACAACTCAAACTGGGATTTGACCAACTTCAGTTGACAGATCTGGCAGTATGTTAAGTCAGTTTTCTCATTGTGGTTTAAAATTATTATATCTTTTTGTGAAGTTCTGTATTTGAAGCAAATATAGACCAGGTGCTTTCTTACTATGGCTTCTCGTTTTTGACCTGTCTATACATAAAGTAGCCAGCAACCCCATTGAAATGGTTAGAAAGCCAGAAAAGGAAACAGATGATTAATCATTATGCTGCTTGCTAATTATTTTTTCCATATTTTAATGAATTTACTACAACAGATATTTGTCACAAAAGCAAGTACTGTTTTGTGAAAAATGAAATTTAGCTTTGTGACAGGTTCTTTTTAAAAGAAAAAATAGTATAGAACATAAAATGTACCCTACAGTGATTTAAAGTATTCATTTTTATATACACATGCAGATGTTGGAAACAACAAGAAGATTAAATGAAACTTAAGTCTGTATTTTATGTCTTTAATTGCAATATGCAGTATGGTCTTGAGTAATTAAATTCCACTCATGATGGAGGTAACCCTTGTTGAAATTTTTATTTTGCATTTAATTATTAGCCATTACCCAAGGATCTATGGAGAGGGTTTTTAGTTTTGCATAAGATGTTTCATAAATATTCACAATTTGTAACTAATTGGCAATTGCATGTGGATAATGGAGCCACAAAGTTCAACTTAACCTGTCCAATAATTAATTTGCAATAACATAGAACAAGATGGTTTTGCAATGTCATCCAAATTCTTCTATCCTAATTAATGAGATGTCATTCTGAAATTTTAAAAAAAGCTCACACGGTAAGTGAAGGTGATGGAAAAAAAAATATCACTGCAAGAAATGGATTTTATAAGTTTTGGCAACTCCTGATTTTTATGCACATAGCTGTTTTTTTGGTCATTTAAGACATTCAATTACATGTGTGTTTCTAGAATTGATGGAAACAGTAAAAGCAATGCATCTGTTGGCAAGTGAATCAAGTGATCTCTTTCTCTTACCTTGATATAAAGGTAGATCCAGAGAATGATGTTCATAAATAAATTAAAGATTTCAAATGTTATTATGACTTCCAAAACATGTTAAACCCCATCTTGTTTCAAGTTTAGGCATCCAGCGGTACTAAACTGTTATCAGAGCACATATAGAGCTGAATATTAAACCCTGTCACAAGCAGATAAGAGAAGCGTTGATGTATTTGAAAGAAAAGTGCTTAGAGCAATATATTTACACATACCTGAAAACATAGTGTGTAGATGTAGATATAATAATGAGCTTTATGAAAGCTTTAAGGGGGCTAGTTTATTGGGGCTGCTTGCCCAAATTCAGCTTATGTTAAACAGATCTCTGAAGATTGTATGGCATGGGATAAGACTATGTGGGAAAAGATATATATTGGCCAACGATGGTAGGATGGTAGGATGAAATCAAGGAATGTTAAAAAGATATGAATCAAGATTTTATGTCCTGTGGCAAATACTATAAACATCAGGAGATGATGGGCTGTAGCCAAGCATGGCAAAGAAGCGTGGAAGCTCCTGTTGTGCTGATGATGATTAATATGCAGTTTGCCCAAAGCTTCATTTTAAATTATATGTCTGGACAAAACAAGAAAAAAAACACAGTAATCCATGCACATTTACACAGAGTGTAGTCATAAATCCATTGAGCACC